AGACAATAAGATGGACTTGGATGGTCAGTCTGAAGGGCAAATTGTTTGTAAAGAAGATAGAACGAAGAAACTACGTGAAATGAGGTAGTAGTAAGTAGATGCTATATTCAAAGATTAGCCAACTTTAACTATTAAAACGGGGCACTGTTAAAGAAACTGAGACGATTATAATAGAAAGTTACATCTTTATTTTTGCCTCGACCGGGAACTGATCCTATAATCGCCTCGTGGAAGGATTGCACGTTGTCCGTGAGCCACCCGAGGGGATAGAATCGAGATATACTTTTGCAAATGAATTCATCGTTGCACTTTGTAATTATCTCGAACTCATGAGTGAAGAATCCCTTGAAAATTACAAAACCTTGCCTCAACTCCTTCGACGCAGTAAAATTATTGATGGAGTCACCACAAACAATGGAATTTTTTCGTCGATATTGAATCGATACGTCCATTGAACTCTCCACGATTTCAATTTCCCATCTACATAGCATCTCGGCTCCCACAGCGGATCAGTAAGTGGAAACCGATGTTGCTGCTATAGGGCGCGACTGCGTGTGAGTTAACGATACACGCAAAAATTCCTATACCGATCCTCCAATAGACGAGCTCTCGTTCAGAAAATTGGGTGACGTTCTGACTGATACACTATGGTATTTTGTTGTTTGAAAACAAAATACCCCAAATTGTTTTCATTAGCGGTTCGTAGTATCAGGATTTAATGGATTTTAATGTAACAAATGATTATTGCCGTTTACAAAACGCATGACTTCTTTGAAGGCAATAGTCAACTTCTGCGAAGCATTGACGTTGTCAAGTGCCACTTAGCACTGAATAAACAGTTTTTTTTCCGCGTTCGTGTTAAGTTTTCAATGTTAAACTATGATATTTGATTGCCACTCTTTCTCTGTAGTTATTTCATACTCTTGTTAATATGTGGTTACAAAATAGTTCATTGATTCCAGAAATTATTTTGCGTAAAAACACAACGTGGTTGAAAGAAAACTATGCAGATTCCAGACATGCCAAAGGTGTCTGTGTTTTTGTTAGAACTCGGGAAAACACAAAAATATCTGTGTTACCAAATTTCAATACACGCCGAAATTGAGACTATGCGGCCTCCTGTTGTGAGAGAGGTGTATGTGATTTCGTTAGTTATCCACGAACATTGATAAAATACAGAAACATCTTTGTGTATTACTAAGTCCCAATGCACCAGAAATTGAAAGACAACTATACAACTTTTGGCCTCATGAGAGTTGTGTGAGGTGTCGGTAGACACCCGATGACGCGAGAATATAAAAAAAACTACATTGCTCGCAAAAATTAAAAGAAAATTATGCAGCCTTTGGCCGTGTATGAGGCGTCTATGATTTTGTTTGAAACGCAGGAACTCGGGGAAAATACAAAACTATATTAATTACTGATTCCAAAATGGGTGGAGAAATTGAAAGAATAGTATGCATCCTCGGACCGCTTGTGAAGTGAGTTTGGTTTCATTAGACACCCAAGATCTTATACCAAATATAGAAAAATACAAAAATATGTATTTTACTTATATACAATATAAGAAATTGATGGAAAACTACGCTGTCTCCGCTCTCGTAAGAATCTATGGTTTCGTTAGATACTCAGGTAGACGGGAATATCCCAAATCAATGAAAGTTTAGTTTTTTTACTGAAAAATGGAAATATATTATTTTTTTCCGCATACTGTACTGTCATACTGCACGTACCCACTGAATTATCATACTCAGTGCATCACTACTTACGACATAGTTGAGATCATGATTCAGCCCGTAAGTATTTGCTATTCACGTAATGCGTTATGAAATGGCAACTTTTTTTAATATTCGTGATACGGAAAGATTGTTGAATATATGTTAAGATTAAAAATTACTTTTATATATTTCATGCATTTATTATTACCTAACTGTATTATCGATGATGGCTGTTGTGAAAATTCAATTTGATTTATTGCAGTGTCGAGAGTATTTATTTTGTTCCTGGGCACTGCGCTTGCTCATTTTTCGAATACCATTTGTGTGATTTTGTCCAGCAACAATTTTGATGCTGCAGACCCCTAGTTTGTTGCAATTGAATTGGGCTGAGGAGAAGGAGAACACGTCATTTTTTAAACTTTTCAGGAGGAAGGAAGCATTAAATAATATTCACACATTTTATATTATCCTGTCCAATTTTCCTGTGTGAATTCACTAAACACTATTATGATGTGCTTTCTTTCTTCACAGTATAATTTGCCTTGCATTAAAGAACAACTTCCCAATATATATTTAAAACATTGCATTTTTGACTGATTCCCTTCCTTCTGCTGATTCAATTATATAACATTCGAAATAATATGCAAGATGTTTATTTTAGTACAAAAGTAAGAAACCTGGTCACCGCCTTATTTTGCAATCAAAATACTTAACATAGCGAAGTACTGAAATTATGTACAGTGGAGTTAAATACAGCGCAACGTTTCTTTATTAAATTCCTAGAAAAGGAAGTTTCTCTGAATACCATTTGTTTTTCTTTAATCGCCCGGGTACTGAAGTCCATTGATGAAATGGGCACTTTACTAGTGCCAAGTAAAAATGATTTGATCTGTTCAATCGATATATCTATTAAAATCTAAGAGACCCTCAATCACAGAAATCATTCAATGCGAGTAATGGAACAAAGCTGGTATGCAGGACCAACGCTTGCGATATAAATGCAAATGATTACATGTCGGACATGTTCGTGACGTGATTTAAATGTAACTTGTATGTATCGTTTGCGCCATTTCTCTTACTGGCTTCGGGGTTTTACGGGTACAACTGAACTGTGCCTGATTCTACTGAACACACGCTACTTTTTCTTATAATTATATCACAGCAAGAGGAGAATATGCGTCCAAATCAACTGTAACTAATGCAGTCTAACTCAGTATTATATTAATATTTATTTGTAATTTGAAATGTAGAATGTTAATAGTATATACTGCGTACTACAGACCTACATTAGAAAATTATCAATCTGTTCACTCTATTTCTCATTGAAGACTTCAGTGTAATTGTAAATGCGTGCGAGAGTATTAACACTTCTGAGTATTTTTCCAGATTATGAATATTTCTAGTTGCCTAAAAAAGTAATAAAAATTTAATTTATCAAAGGATGGAATCATTAAAGAGATACATTAATTTCAGGTTTGTAGCAAAGTACATAGCATTTTCTGTCTTTATTTCTGCCTATTTCTCTTTACATTAAGAACCATTTTCTTTAGTGTACTCCTATTTACCCTCATCTTTTAAGTTCACAGAACGATAAATAAAAGTCTAGATCTAATACCTCTGACAAAATTAGTAAAAACTAATTGACTAATATTCTCTAATATGACGTATTGACTAATCATATTTTCAGAAATACCTGACGGAAATATGAACAGAAAAAATGATCACGTTTGTGTCTAAACATTTTGTTAGTTGATTTGAAATATTGTACAATTGTTTAAAATTTACACAAAATTACTTTAATTTGATTAAATTGAATATTACTACGAATAGATTCAAGGGTCGATACAAGAAAAATGTTTGGATGTAAACGGTTGGTATGCAGACGCAACAAATTAAAAAAAAAACAACTAAAAGCCGCTGGAGTTTAGGCCGATTAAAATGTATTGAAATATTATGGTTTGTTTTCTCATATCTTTCTTCGATCTGATTTCGTTAATTTCCAGGTGGCAGGGAACCCTAGAAATGACGTGAGACACGGTATGACGTACTTGACTGTGGAACGCCTCGAAAACAATCGATGGGTGATTGAAGCCACGGATGCATATTGGGAGACGAAGTAAGTAAAATATTTAAGTGATGTAAATTGTGAAGAACCTTATTAAATATTTGTAAAGAATATTATTAAAGTATAGCATACATGTAAAGAATATTATTAAATATTTGTTACAAGAAAATCCAATATGAACTTTATCGTCCTGACAAAAAATGAAATTGGAATACAATTTTAAATATATTGAAAACTGAAACAAACCTTCGCCCAAGTATTGTCAGATGTCTGTTCATATATTTTTATTAAACATGATTAAACACACATAGCTAATCAACATTTTTTTCTTAATAAGTATTAAAACAGTACGTAAATGCTACACAATCATATCACATCAATTCTTAATTTTTATTTAATTTGTTGTGGCTTATTTGCGGCTTACAAATCAACGTTGTAAGCAAATAAACTTTTCAAAACTTAATCTTGAAAAACTTTAGATGAATAACTCTAATTGCTCTAATTCATTGAATGCCTCAAAATACGTGTTTACATTTATTGATACAGGTTCAAATGGGAACGAACCTCCACAATACTTGGTACGAGTGAAGCGACAGTCTTGTGGGAGGTCGGGCCAAATACACCACCTGGAACATATCGCATTCGGCACTTCGGCAACTACAAGTACATCTTTGGAGGAGTGTTTGAATACATTGGCGTCACTCAAAACTTCACAGTAAGTACTAGTATGTTATATACACGTTATTATACTATTGTACATAGACAGCTCTTTGGCAGCAGAAATGTTATATAGTTCATAGAAATAATATATCAATATTCGGTGTTGTTTATACCAAAAGGTGAAAGTAAAGAAAAGTAAAGGGTGAAGCAAAATAATGTTCATTTTCATCAATTATCCTTATCATTCATTTCTCTTATCTACTCCTTCTTCTGAAAGTCTTCAATTCGTTGAAATTCGTTTTGTTAGACGTCAAGTCACGAGAGGATTTAGGTCTTTGTTCTCCGCGATAAAACATCCACGAGTGGGTTCAACGCAGATGAGTCCACTTGTATCATAGCCAATTACATTACAACCACACAAAAAAGCCATTGAACTTCCATAGGTAATATTTCGCCCGGATGACTTAAACCGGGAGGTACCAAAAACACATTCGGACCAAATTTCTTGCAAAGGCATTTTCGTGTCAATCCCTTCTGATCGGCGAATTTTGTTTCAGGTGGCAACGGCTTCGCCCTCGCCGTACAGCTACGGTTCCGGTCGACGCGTCAGAGCGCTCACGTAATACCCCGTCGCGGCGACCTCGTATTGGACCCGCCCGCACTCAGGAAGAGGCTGTGCCAGACTCCCAACCACGCCCACCCACACTACGCCATCGCGTGCGTCGCACCTGTTTACGCTTAATATTCTACAAGTATTCCTCTACATAAATTCCCCCCGCGAGACCAACGCGACCACTCTAATGCGATCGTCAATGATGTGAATAAAATTGTGAGTTCACTTCTGAAACAAACTTCGCTGTGAGATGAGCAGTGATCCAAGCAAGAATGGATGATGGGCATCCAAAGCCATGTCTCGTTTAAAACTTCGAGAATGGAAACTTTCAACATCCGGAATGGGGTATTGGGTATTGAACGATAGTTGATGCCAGGGTTCTGGTTTCTGTGGAAGATAACATCTTGTACTTTTTTTTAATGGAGGGAGATACGATACGTCGCGATATATAGATCCAGAAAGGAGAGGAAAATGTGCTCTGTAATTTTCACTTTGAAAAACTGTATTTTTAAACTGAATTTCGATTTACTTTGTGCACTAATTTAACAATTTTAGAAATTATCTTTCAAACTTATTTAGCTACTTGTGCACACTTTTTATAACTGTTTCATTACGAAAATTTTAATTCTCGCACCTTACATTGAGAAATGCGGACCTAGACTATTTTATTTATGGGTGTACTAGTTTCCTAAAAAAAGGCTACGGCGGTCGAGCGTGGAAATATGAAATCGAAACAATCGATGGAATTTTGATGTACGTGAGAGAGCAAGAGCGGAAAATGAAACCATAGCATGTCGATGAAAGTACATTGACAATTTCTTCCCGCCGAACGTAAGTTAATTTTAAGTGGAACTCTGGATCATACGAGTACAAGATAATCTGAATAAAATGAAATTAAAAATACTAACTATATAAAATTGAAGTAATTACATTATATTGTATTATGCACGAGGTAGGTATCCAAATGATACTATTTAACGTAATATTATATAATTATTTATTTTATTAAACATTTGTAGACTAACTTACCACACCACTTATAATACTCCATACATAAATACGAGATTAAAAAAGAAAGGAAATTCTTAGGAACTGTCGAAATGAAAGACGATTAACGCATGGAACGTTCACTTATTTTGTGTTGTTCTGGTCATTTGACAGAGAATACGAGATCTTTATCAAGGAAAATTATATGGAATGTATTTGAAAGATAAATAGATAAATTACTAGTCCTCAAAGTTAAAATAAGGACGAGGCCGGATGTCTATAAACTAAGAGAGAGTAAAGACACGTACGATTTCCTGGACTCTCTTAGAGTACGGGAGACACGTAGAGTTATCATTTTGAAAAAGTAAGTTTTCATGATCCTCAGTGTAATTTCGTATAATAGTTAAATGCCTTTCTAGCTGATTGTTTTCATGTGTCGAAGTAAATGGCATTTGTTCGGTTTCCGGGAAAAGTTCTATTTTTATGCCGTACAATATTTTCCAAGTATTAAGAGTCACAAGTTACATTTTGATGCTTACGAAATCGTGAGCAAAATTAAAAACACCTTTATTTGTAAACGGCATAATTATGACTAATATTTAAACTTTTGAATTAGCGTTCAATGACAATGAAATATAAGTTAGTGGTCCTATCGCCAAAAATGTGATAAAAAATAACATATTCATATTAGTTAATCATTCACGTAGTGGTAATTTCAAAAAATTAATTTTTAAATCCACGAATTAAAATAAAATTTGATAAATATTGCCCTGAAGTATTCGAAAGAATGCAGTTCTGTAGCATCAATCCACCAATTCTACGACATGCAGCTTGAAGCATTACTTTCAGCCAAAAGTCTACTCCGATTATTTTGACGTCTGTTGCTTTGTCTTCGTTGTTTATGATTCGTTGGTGTCTCTAAAGCTGAGCACGTATTTAATTACGAGAAGGATTGAAAATTCATCATCTCAAATAACTTAAGATACTCACTTTAAAGTTCCAAGTAGCTAGCTGTTGTAATAGAATGATGATGATGATATATAATAACAATAATTATAATAATAATAACAATTAGTCAGCAACTCGTTTAGTTACCAGAAGCCGCACTCTCTATCTTGAAAAGATGTTTGGTCCGCCGCCTACTGACTATCGCCGTTTGGTGTCCCAGAGAAGGTTGCCATGCTAAGCGGCTTCGCTGTGCACCCTGTATGGTAATGTAGATATGTGTATGTGTAGTGGTGTATGGTAATGTAGATATTTGAGAGCGACTAATTACTTTGAGTACACATTCTTATCGGCCTTGAAAAATAGACTCTGGCATATAAGATTGTTGAGAGTAAAATACAGTACTGTATTGAATTTATAAATATAATTTGTAATGCATCAATGTGATATTGATTAAAATATGCAAAGCACGATTGCCATATAAGGGTTTTTGAGATGAAAATATGATGAAAAGTGAGTTTGCGCATAAATACATGTTCCTAATTAAATTGTATGTACAATTTGTATTTTAATAGAAGTAATTATATATTTTATTACTTCCTTAACCTATTTTTGCTTTATTTACCTTTGCCTAGACATTCCCAAATTCTGCCATACTTACAGACGTTCCCAAATGTTTTCGACTGTTCTAAAATGAAGCAAAACTGGCAAAATGTAGAAGTGATTTATTTCTTTGCTGCTGGAAGTAGCAACACACAACATAAAAATTTATCTTTGAAAGTTTGTGAAATATGTTTCATTCCACAATTTTCGTTTATTTGCTTTTAACCGTTTCCTTTTGTTCCGTAAAATACAGTTGAGTTACCACTGCTGTACTGAAATAAATGGGTACCAGTGTTATTACCATTTCAGTGTAATCACGCTATTGGTCAAACATTTATTTGTAGTTGTGTACTCTGCGTATTATCTAATAAAAGTTAAAAGACTCGTACAAATAAAATAATGTCAATCGTTTTATACATGTGAGTTTTACTTTGAAGTAAGCACTAGAATTATTCACGTTTGTAAAAATGTGTCTTCACCAAATAAAAATTGTGAAACAAAGCACACTTCGATATCTAATTTTAAAATATAAGAACACAAATCAAAGACAATAGGAAAATGTAAGAAATAAAAAGATTGAAACTCACAATGGCGCACAACACTGTCAACAAAGCTTCAGCGCTTCTGAGAGCAATTGTGATGCAGCTATCGTTCAATAAAATAAATATGCTTGATAGAATCCGAAACTACGTGCTATACTTGCAGCTCGCGATCTCTCGCAACCCTCTCCGCTCAGGCAACAGATTTCGCCACCGTGTTAATCGATTCCTGTTTAATTAGTCTAAAAATCAGAGCATTCCTGTAGCCCTGTCTAGCGGCGTGCCGCCCATGCCTGTAGGTCTGTAATTACCCTCCCTCTGAGTTCGGAACCGCAAAGTTTACATCGTGCCCACTCACACAGACACCCCCTCTGGGTTTCATTATCGAAGTTCTCACCTTCAGTAAAGAGAATTTCAATTACATATATGCACTGTTTCCGCCATGAGATCGAACAATGCTATTTGCGAATCACTTACCCGCAGATGAGGGCTATGTTGAATATGTTGGAATTTTTTAATAAATTGACAACGAATTGTGAAGATATTTTAATGGGAAATTGGTTTACTTTAATTACGTTATTCGCGCTTGTTAACTCATGACAAAACATTCACACGCGTTTATCATTTCTCCCAAATCCTATTATTCAGATATCATAATGTAGGACAGTTACGTGACCTCGATTTATAGCTACAATTTTTCTTAATACTCGTACTGTTTTGTAATATGGACTATTTATCCGATCAGAGAAACGAGAAGTCACTCTGAAGGACGGCGTTCATTAAGGTAATTTTCATGCAGTGTAACTTTAACACGTGAAGTAAAATCTCCAAAACATGCAAAAATATTCAATAAAAAGATCAACTTTGCAACAACGGTTATGTAGCCTAATGACGCTAGTTAATCCACTTATCAACTTATTTTTTACTTTGAATGTGATATATAAGGTGAATGAAATATTATGATTTAAAAATTATTTTCACACAAAATTAAATTAGCGTACAAATACAAAAAAAATTAATACAAAAATTGAAAAATAAAAATATATCTTCAGAAATAAAAAAAATTAAGTAACAGAAGAAATGTTCTTAATTGCTTTCATATTAGTTTACAATTATGTAAATTTGTAAATTATTTTCTGAGAAATTAATTTATCTTCTATCAACTATTACAAGTTTCAGTCAGTAAAAACTTAGTATTACATTTATACTGGTCTGTGTGCCGAGCCTCACTCTGAGATACCTGCACACGCAGCTAAAAGTGATGAAAACTGCGTTCATTCTCTCTCGTGCCTCGCAAGCCAACGTCTGTTCTGAGAAATTCGATGATTTTGAAATGCAGTGCGCTTCACACTAAGCTTCGCGCCCGGTCGTAAGATCAAATGTGATTCGCGCATGCAGTTTCATATTGGTAAATTCAGCGAGGACTGACCAAACGGATTGACTTGAATGAACCAATTGGAAAGATAGACCTCGAACATAGCATTGGCTGAGCGGTCACAACCAAGGGCCGCGGACCTGGTTCGTGATAACAGCGAATATCCCCGCTGGAATAACTCAGTGTCAATTTTTAATTTGACACTAGGCATCATGGAAGATGCATCAGTTCATAGGGCAACAAAATGCAGAATTGATACATTTTAAACGGCTCTCTGATTTCACAGATTACTCTAACACACTACTGGGTTATGTCATAAAATCATTTTTCTTAAATGAAACCTTTAAAAAAGATAAATTAAAATTAGCTAATAATATAAAACTTATATGCAATAGAACAACGAATCTTGCAAATTCTTCCAGTAAAATCCGAAAATGTGTAATTTTCAGGCAGCATTACCGAAAATATGCAATGTCGTGCAAAATAAATTAAGTAACAAAATAACGTCCGTTTCACGATTCAAATTTCTTCAGCAAAAATTCGGTAGCCCCCATTAACACGTAGTTGAGTAGTTGAGAGATGAAAAAGAGATCCTGTTGACACTTCACCCAAGCAGCCCTTGCGATGACTCATTTTCAGAATACTATACCGAACCTTTGCCCCCCCCCTGCTTTTATGCGGCCCGCGACAGATTAAAACATATTAGGTTAATGTTTTATTCTTCAAATAAATACGCGATTTTTCTCGTAAATCTGTTTAGGAGTTCGAGCAATGTATAAATCTTACAATTAGACACATCAAATTGTTTAAAGTCTACAGATGTAAGCACATTTTTTTGGAATTAGTTCCGTACCTTCTCCAGAGTGGCCCTTGGGGAGTTGGAAGTTGTCTATCTCTAATCTGTTTCAACAAATACATGACTAAGTTTCTATTTGTTTCAAAAAATTAAAATAAATACTACTCGATTAAAATAATAATAATAATAATAATAATAATAATAATAATAATAATAATAATAATAATAATAATAATAATAATAATCTTAAAACAATCTAGGAACGAAAATATCTTTGGAGTTCTTCGCCTACAACGCGACCTCTCTCTAATTAATGAGCAAAAGCCCAAATACATCTTTCGTAATTAGTATTGAATTAAAACCAAATGAAGAATTAATGAGTTTATAAGTTGGTTCGGCAGTAGATTTATACATATTATACTTTTCCAAACCTAAAATGACAAATAAATTACCGATAATTAATCCGACTGTCAAATAAAATACCTCGATAAAAACTAAATTCCCATGATATAGTTGCATTCTTGGAATGAAACTCAATTTCCAGTCACAGTAAAATTTCGTTCCAAAGGCTGTTTTGCATCTTGTCAAGAACTTTGCAGTTATTCATTACGCACTTTATGTACACCAGAAACAATAACGAAAAAGTTAATTTTGTTAAGTTTCGTTCCTGTTGTCATCGCTGGTAAAACAAAAGTCGTAGTGTTAGACATCTTTGATCTGTGATTTGTTCTGGAAAATGTATGTAAGAAAGTGACGAAACGCGTTTAAAGAAGTACGAGACTGCGCTTTATTGGGGATATTTTGCGAAAAGTATTGCATATTAACCCACAGTAACTTAAGAAGCTGGTAGCAAAATAAATGGGATTTTATATTGAATCAAGATCTAACATGTACCAGGCAGTCCGATGTCTTCAGGATTTATAATCTGCCTTGTGCAGTGTCATTCAGCAAGTAGCTGCAATTTCTACTAAGCTACTACTTCTACCAGCCACGAATTCAGGAAATGATTATAACATTATTAATTGTGGATGTGCGCGCGGTCATAAAATGTATTGAAGCAAAGTTTGGAGCAAAAACCGCTTGATTTGCGCACGTGACTGATGGAAAGGTTTTGACCTCGAGCAGAATGAGTAACACACCTGGTCCATTTTCCTTCCGCACCGGCTGTCCGAGCTGACTCATATCGAGCGCGTGACACCAGCCTGGTGTCATGTTTCCACTGGCCTCCCTTGCGACTTTAAGGGAATTTTATCTCTAAGCATGCTATTGCTCTTGGAGGTAACTTAAACAAGTAGTGAGAACAGCAGTTTCGCATAACTCAAGCAAATAAACTTACATAACTGGCCATAAATGCAAAACATTTTTTTGTACTGTTACTTATTAAAATTTCACTTAAGTAAAAAAGAAAAGTAATCTTAATGCTTTAATACATTGGAGGTTTCCGTATTGCAAGCTGTGGTGGCGTACCGATCTGATTGTATCGTGGTTTTGTCTTTTTTTAGAGCTTTTAACCAACCGACAGTCGGTTACCCTTGCGTGCTGATGGCATTATTTCACCATATACTAGACACCAACACACTTGCGGACTCCTCTGCTCTGGGGTCCGTGGAACGCTACGCCCTCCCCGACAACACATCCATGTCAAACAAACACGACTAACAACCATACCAAAGCCACTGAGTCGGTACTTGCTCTTATAGCCCCCTCGGCCATCCAGGATGGAGATTTGCATAAAAAAAGTGAAATTAATGATACTTAAAACGTTGTATAACAAACAAAGAATTATATAAACTGGACATATTTAAGAAGAAAGTCAAAATGTTAAAAACCAATCCCTCGTGTGCTCAAAGCTGCGCATGTTTTTGTCTCACCTTTCAGGATATCCACTCACAGTTTCGAATATCTTAGTTTGCCACCTTCAGAATTATTGTGAAAATAGGGATATTTCACAAGAATGAGAGTCGTTATCAGAAATAATTTAAACGTGATAATTATGTAGCGTATTATGTTTATAGACCACTTCTTTTATTATTAATAGTTATTTGACTTATAACTTATATTTGAATTATATTTAAGGTTCTTTTAATCAGCTTTCAGACATTAAAGCAAAAATTCATTTCTTCGAAGTGCATTTGGAATTTGATATTTATGTTGTTTTTTAAATTTCAGAATCAGAATTAATAGTTGTGTGACATTCTTTGCATGTCATGTTCATGTTTATTGATATATTAAGTTCCTCTTTTACCAATGACACTAAACCCCTACCTCTACGTCCCGTTACGTGATTTCTTG